GATCCAAGAGATAAGTTTATTCACTTTTGTTTATGTCTGGTAAAACTCCCCGGCTATTTTGAATGTCACATGAAGTATTCTTCCATCAGTTGCTTCATGAAGATCCAAGATGGCGGCTCAAACTCGTGTTTCTTCAGAAATTTCACGTATTTAGCCGAATCACTCACATTGTGTGCTAAAAGTAGTTCACTGTAAATCATCAAATCAGCAGCTTTCCAAATGAACTTTTGATGTCCAAGAATTATTAATATGTAACTCATGCAACGATTCGATGCCTAATTGTCGAGAAATAGGCAGCATTTCATTCTAACAAATCCTGCCAATCAGTAGCCACTGGGGGCGGAGCTTAGGAAGTGGTTTCATGCTGATTAATGGCCTGTGAGTTTTACCAGATAAACAAAGGGTAAAATTATGGTCTGGGTTTATGATTGGAATTCTCTCCATCCCCAAAATGGGGATAATCGAGTGAATAGGGGGATTTCGGTACCTAAAGTTTTAAATGTACTGTAGACATTAACCACAAAGCAAATCAAAATGTCAAACTTTAAATCAAGTACCCTATTTAATACCCAAATCAACTCGATTAATTTCTAAATTAAATCAACTATTTTATTTAATACCCAAATTAAAAAGATTAATTTATTAATGAAATCGACTATTTTATTTAATATCCAAATCAACTTGGTCAATTTCTTATTTAAATCAACTGTTTTATTTAAGACTCAAATCAAAGAGATCGATTTATTAATTAAATCAACTATTTTATTTAAGACCCAAATTAAAGCGATCGATTTATTAATAAAATCAATTTCATAATTAAATCAACTATTTTAACACCCAAATCAAAGAGATCGATTTATTAATTAAATCAACTATTTTATTTAAGACCCAAATTAAAGTGAGCGATTTATTAATAAAATCAATTTCATAATTAAATCAACTATTTTAACACCCAAATCAAAGAGATCGATTTATTAATGAAATCAACTGTTTTATGTAACACCCAAATCAAAGAGATCGATTTATTAATTAAATCAACTATTTTAACACCCAAATCAAAGAGATCGATTTATTAATTAAATCAACTATTTTATTTAAGACATAAATCAAAATATCAATTTATTAATTAAAGATACATTATGTAAGATTTAGATAAAGAACTAGCCATTCTTGCTATAATAGTTCAAAAGTAGATGGTGTAAAATGAATAATTTGAACATTTCATTCAAATTACTCTATTGCAAGCGAAGATATTAGCCTTTGAAGGTTTGACAGACGTGTGTAATAATTTCAACCACCTTACTGGTTGATCGAAGCTAAGTCTTGGTCCTCCATATTTGATTAAATCAAAGTATCGCTGAACCATTCTAATCTATTTAATATCGGAGAAATCTGATGCCATCGAGAGTTGATTAAGGCCTGGATCAGTTAATTAATGTCTTATTAATAGTTTAGAAAACATTTCAGGCCCAAAGAAAGACCCGCAATAGGCAGATTTAGCTCTTGCATAATGTATGTTTAAATCAAGCATTAAAGTAAAACATGAAAATAATTAGGGTATGTGAATTATATATATGAATCATCATCTAAGAAGTATCTCTTCATGTTCACTTGTTCACAAGAGAATCAAGGCCCTTATTCACGAAAACTTAAACTAAGTTACAACCGAAATTTTAAGAAAAACTGCAACTTCATTGGATATATGCAAATTGATTTTACTGGTCAGCCAATCGAATTGCAGTATTTCTTAAAATTTCGATTGTATCTTAGTTTAAGTTTTTGTGAATAAGGGCCCTGAATTATAACTTTTAGTTGGTTGTGTACACTTTCACATCAAATAAAATAAGTTTAAAACCAATCTGATTAAAATACAGATCTATATTTCGTTTAGTTTTTTTTTTTATACTTTCGATGGCCTCTACTACATGAAGATCTCACCAGTTGTAGTGGGAGGTCGGGTCAGAGGTCATAGGGGCGGCTTTTGACGTCGGACATTTGATTAACCCACAATTTCATGCGTCTAACACCAAAATCTAGCTGCAACAGACTGTTTCATTTGCTAATGCCTCACATCATCCAAAGCGTGGGTTACATAACAACTCTTCCAGATCTTAGTGTAGTAAAGACAAGTAAAACAAAATTTGGAACTATAAAAAACAAAACAAAATAGGATCTGTGTTTTAATCCGATTGGTTTAAAATAAAAGGAAAACAGTTCTTTCATATAACAAGTAGCAGTGGTTTGTACACAGTTGTTAAGACATGTATCTTAATATTTGAATTTTGATGAGATCCTTTATTTCTTCGAGGCCGGAAAACAATGTTCTTCAAGCGTAAAAAAAAAAGATACATTATGATGTAGAATTCTATACAGGGACTCCTGGAATCTGATAAATAACTCCTGGAAAACTCCTGGAATTTTAAGTGTTCTGAGTTGTGCACACCCTGTGTGGGTCCAATCACATCTGTGAACCAATTTAAATGAAATATTATAGATCTGTATTTTAATGAGATTGATCACATCTGTGAACCAATTTAAATGGGGAACAAGGTTTATATTCCATGCTGCCAGGGCAAAATTCTCATTCCTTGCATTGTACAAACAGACGTTAACAACAGCAATTACCATATTTTGTCTCAAAATGACTGTGTTGAAATGTTAAATGTCATTTTGTGCAACTGGGGCCTGTTTCACGAAATTTTAACTAAGATAAAATCCAAATTTAGTATTTTGATTGGATAATATTAGACTGATTTTAGTGCTTAGCCAATCAAATTTGAAGTATTTACTAAAATTTGGATTTTATCTTTAGTTAAAATTTCGTGAAACAGGACCCTGAGCACTGGTTTTAAGATATTTCCTTGTCTCAGAAATGAATTTTAATTTTGCATTCTTGAAATTGATATTGATGCATTTATTATTATTATTTATTGTATATTATGAATTTATTTATTGATTGTATTTTGTTTGTTTTTTGTTAGATGGATAAATGAAGTTAATCTTTGTTTATATCATGTTAAAATAATGATTGTTTGTATTTTGAAATAAAGTTGTAATATTTTAACAAATTTGCATCTTTGATGAAACCCTAACCCCTACATTCCTTAAAGGGACAATAACACTCTTGCTGGCTTGAAAGCTCCAGAAAATAAATAATATCTCTATCTAAGTACTAGATGTTTAAGTGTCCTGCCCGTTGTGTAATTTATCCATTACATCCTATTTTACTTGTCCAGAGGGTTCGAAAATATTTTTAAATCGAAGTTTCATTTTAAAAAGGTTTACGTTGGACGTTTCTAACCATTATGTTGAATTTTTCAAAATTTTTAAATAAGGTGTGTTAAGATGAAATTTGTATCATCAATTAATTGGAATATTGTAAAATAGTACAATTTGTTGACCAGAATAAAGATTGGGACATATTATTCAGTTACAACAAGAGTGGTATTGAGCCTTTAATGATTAACAGTTACTTGGAATATTCCAGATTGGTTTCCTCTTGTCAGTGGTGCAGATAAGATGGCCTGTCACTAACACTTGCCTAGTGATACCGATGGTACCAAACAAATGAATAAAATGAAATGGATTCTAAAACATCCTACTGTTCTGCTCCGACTGGACTAATTAAAACAGGCATACGCCATACAGTGTGCTATGGGGGAAATTTGGCCTGGACAGCAGCACTACGGCATACTCTTAATTGAATTTCTACTGCCAAGGGATCTTTAACATGCATGTCAACGTGTACTTGGGAACTTGGATTTTCGTGCCATGCGAACAACAAAACATTGTTTCTTACCAGGCCCCCTTGCACCACTGACAAGGGGGGACCACGCCCCAAAAAATCCTGATGAATTTCTGGGCAAACCAGGGATGGAACATGGGACATCCAGGTCAGCGAGCCAACATCTTACCCACTTGGGGGTTTTGAATGTCCAAATGGTTAGCGTGTGCACCTGTATCATAAGGTCTGAGTGGACCTCTCTCTCTCTCTCTCTCTCTCTCTCTCATTAGCCCAGTCCAGTTACTGTAGAAAGGAAAGATGTTAAACACCTTGGTGTCATGGGAATAATTGCTGGGTGTGTGGGGGGATGTCATGGGAATAATTGCACTTGATGGTGCCTTAAGAATAATTGCTGGGCATGTGTGTGTGGGGGAGGGGGGGTGTCATGGGAATAATTACTGGGGTTGTGGGGGGATGTCATGGGAATAATGGTGCCATGGGAGTAATTGCTCTCAATGGTGCCAGATGATAGTGGTGATATGATGGGTATATTTGCAGTGGGTAATGTCATGGATATATTTGCAGTGGGCGATATACGTTGGGTATATTTGCAGTGGGTAATGTCATGGATATATTTGCAGTGGGCGATATACGTTGGGTATATTTGCAGTGGGTAATGTCATGGATATATTTGCAGTGGGCGATATGTTAGGTATATTTGCAGTGGGTAATGCCATTGATATATTTGCAGTGGGCGATATACGTTGGGTATATTTGCAGTGGAGCTTAGTTATGGTAAAAGTAAATGTACTTTCCAAAACTTGCCAGGGATAAACTAAACGGAAAAAAAATTGCCCCCCCCCCCCGCCATGATGTAGGCTACCATTGTTATAATGAACTATTTTTACCGTTCTTTTTCACGATTTCTTGTTATTTATTTATTTATTTTTTTTTTTTTTTTTTTTGATCATATTGAGCCACAGCCGATGAATTTGGGTTTTATGAATAATGGGAGATAACCCCCTTTAATAGAAATAAATAATAATATATTCAGTGCCAGGGATGTAAAAAGCGTAGACTTCACACTCGGAATGAAAAAAACAAATAAAATTGCATTTGAATTTTAATAATTTCTTAGATCTATTTATATTTAGCGCTTCAACTCAAGTTCTTGGAAAATCAGAGCTGAAAGGGGAATATCCCATTTTCTAGTGGATGTCTAAAAATAGACATTGGTACGTCAAAGTAGGTTCCCCTTGTGCCTTGTGTAAAAGAAATATGGCCGACAAAGTAGTTTGTTTTAAAATTCTGTGTTGACAATGGTTCAATAATCAGAAGTTCAGATAACTGAATGGGAACTAAACTTTAATTCGACGATGTAAACCAAGGCAGTGGACATTTCTACAAAATTTATTGTCACAAAAGCAGCAAACAAAAGAGGTCACCCAATTTCAAAACTGTGTTTCGAGAAATACAGAATCGACAATTCATCAATCAAAATCAATGTTTTGAAGATTGCATAACGCTGACAAAATTCTGCAAAATAAAGCAAAGGTCAGCATTTAAATATTCAAGCACTTCATTTACACAAGTAGTAAGTGTAATATCTGCTTGATTTTGGTGATCAACACAAAATATTTATTTCTTGATCAATTTCTTTGTAAAATAACAAAAGGCGTCCATTTAATTTTAATCATTTATAATTTATTCAAGATTATAAATAATAAACTATCTAGATTAAAATTACTAAAACCTGACCTCAAAATATTTCATTTTTGTTTAGAAGTTTGATCATTAGAAATTATATGTTCTGATTCAATATTAAAGTAGCTAAGTCTCTTAACTCAATATCATCCAAAATCTTTTACATTGAAAACACGATTTATTTGTCAAATTAAATCAACATTCATGCTGTGATCTTACCGGAAAAAGATGAGCTTTTGATATCCAATATTTAAGACAAAATAAACATTTTACCATTGGTACACGAATCGTGCACCCTAATGCGCTTCAGCCCCAGTTGTATTGAGAGGGACGAGGCTAGACACATTGCACCAAATCAAACGGCGTATGTAGACAGGAATAACCAGACGCTAGAAATTTGCACTCGCTTGAGACTGCTGGCTTATTTCGCCGAACATAACTGATTTGAAATTGGAGTAAAAACGGAAACCATTGAATGTAAATCAGTTTATATACATTCATACTACAGTATTATATGCGTTGCGACCCACTTTTGTCAATTTCAAGGTCCCAAATGTTAGCGATTTAGCTCCTTTAATGTCTTTAAAAGATCAATTCCCTGGTTATACGTGACAAGGAGTAGGATTGCTTGCCCAACCTTGTGAGCTTTCTGCTCTGGCTTCCCCTTACTGCTAAAGACCCCTACGCCCAAGTGAATTATTGAAATAAAATGGAACCATATGTTAGTCCCAAAATGACCTAGTCTCTTGGTTTATATTACCACAGGATCATTGATACAAAATGGCGGACAAAGGAGAAGAAAAAGTGGAGGAATCGACAGAGGGAAATGAGGATAAGGCATCGACAAGTACATCGGGTGGAATACAGTTGATCCCTCTTCCTGTGAAGGAGAAGGAAGCAACTAAACCCACTGAAGATCCCTTCCTGATTAACACACGGCTGATTCCACAAGCGGAATTAAAAGATCAGTCGATGAGAGAATTGGAAGGATTGGGTTTAAATATATTTGATCAAGATGAATTTGAAAAAGGTAAGGACATTATTAAAAAGATTCATTCAATTTTTCTCTTTGATAAGTTTGTGGCTTAGTTTTATAATAACGTACGACTTGAAGAGAGTCCTATTTGCAGATAGAATAAAAATTACACTATCCTTTATGTTAGGACCCGATTGATGTGGCAAAATTATCACTCTCTTATCTGGTAGGAGGCAGGAACACACCACTGTCAAGGCAAAATACTCTCTTTTATGGTACGAATTGGAGGCAGGGAAACGCCACTATCAGGGCAAAATTCTCTCTTATGATTTTTGTTATTTTGATTTCAGGTGTCATGGATCAAGTGGGACAAATGTTGGCAGAAGAAGAAGAAAAGAGAGTTCGTAAAATAATTGAAAAAGAAATAAAAGGAGTTGAAGATGATATAAGGTATGTTAATTGTTTATTAATATGATGAATTGGATGGCCTATCAAGGTTTCGTTGTCAGTTCGGTTTAGCTTTCTACCCATTCTAGTTTTGTCATGTCATTGTTGCAGGACGGAAGGCCTGGCATGCATATAAAAGAACTCTTGGCAGTGGGAATTCGAAGAAAGAAAAGTAAATAGATAAACTGCTGCCCAGGCAAAATTGGCCTCAACAAGTGTCTGTCTTTATTAGCCCTGTTGGTATAGCAGTAGGATATAAAATGCCATTTCACTTCATTACATTTCACACAACATCTTCCTCTATATTCAATTGGTGTAAAACCAGCTAAAATACAAACTAACCATAGCCTCTATGCTTATTGATATCCCATGTCACGTAAAACTATTTGTATAACCATTCGGGTTTTGATAAACGAAACCAATGTTTTTATGTTTATGTTTTTTGATAAATAAAACCATTGTTTTATGTTTCAGACAAACTAAAACCGATCTTGTACATATTTTAAAAGTTGTTGCTCAATGGAGTAAAGGTGACACCAGTAATCCTGAAGTTAAACGACGTCTTGATTCTGTTCTCAAATCTAAAGGCAACAAGGTTTGTATGATTAAACATACAGTATACAAAAGCTAAATCTGCCTATTTCAGGTCTTTCTTTAGGCGTGAAATGTTTTCTAAATTATTAATTAGACATTAATTAACTTATCCAGACCATAATAAACTCTAGATGCCATCGCTAGCCTGCGATATTTAGCGGATTAGAATACGTTTTGTGAAGGATGATTAAATGTAAACATGGATAATCGAGACTTTGTTTTTTATCGTACCGACTTTGGTAATGATGATCGAGGCTAGGCCTAAAATTCAATCGCTAATATCTCGATTCAAAGTGGATCTATTTGACTAAAATTTTCAGTATATTCTGTTTACATTATCTATTTTTTATCTATTATAGCGAGAACTGTCAGCTCTCTATACTAATCTCCCATATTTCCGCTTTAATCTGCATTTAGTCACTTGAAAACAAGAAGGGGGCCCACAGTGGATCATTGAGATTGGTGCTGGCTCACTAATCATAAGCCCTGGGTTTGATTCTCGTATTGGTCAAGAATGTTCCTCAGGATTTTCTGATGCAGTTTCCCATTGTCAGTTTTTCAGTGTCAATTGTTCAGGATAGAGGGCCTGTCAAGGACATTGTCTAGTCCTTCGGATGGGATGGAAAACTGAGGTCCTGTCTTAAAATTAACATATACATAAAAGAAACCTTGAGACTAGGTTTTATCCTGGTGATCTTTACTTTGCAATATTTCTATTAAGTGGTATGAATATGTTTATCTTTGAAACGACTTTAAATGACGAAAGGGGAAGAAGATGTGCTGTTTAATCCCCATGTTTTCTGTTTAATCGGGGATCAAGGTGGATAAGTGGCTATGGCGCTGGCTCGCTAGCCTGGAGGTTGGGTGTTCGATCCCTGCATTGGCCGAGAAAGTTCATCCAGATTTTCCGACGTGGTTTCACCTTGTCAGTGATGCAGGACTTAGGGCCTGACAAGGACAGCTGTCTAGTCGTTCGGATGGGATGAAAATCGAGGTCCCGTGTACACATTGGCGTTCACTTAAAAGATCCCTTGACAGTTGGAATTCGATATTAGAGTAGACTGTAGTGCCGCTGTCCGGGCAAAATTTCCCTCATAGTACACTGTACGGCGTATGCCCGTCTTCATTAGCCCAGTTCGGAGCAGAACAGTATTATGTTAAACCCCATTTCATTTCATTGAGTCGGGGGTTGGGTGGCCGAATGGTTAGCACGTTAAACTCCATTTCATTTTATTTTATTTCTGTTTATGTTGTAGTTGAAACAGATGAAGAAATTAATGTCCAGAAAAAAAGTTTTACAAGCTAAATTAGACGGAGTGGAAAGGGAGATAAGCGATGAAGATGGTAAGATACTTTGCACATAATTGCAGCCCAAAATATGAAAACTTCATGGATTCAGATTGTTCGAACACTAGTGGGGAATGTGTCTTTATGTGTCGCTGCAGGTTAGAGATGAATATTTATAAATACTAGAGAGAGGAATGGGGTTTATGTTCCACTTGACACAAACTATGTAATTTCGGGACTAACATGGTTCAATTTTATTTCAATAATTTGCTTGCGCGTAGGTGTCTTTAGTAGTGGAAGGAAACCGGACCGGAGGACCCGGAGAAAACCCACAAGGTTGGACAGGCGACCCTACTCCTTGTCACGTACAACCAGGGAATCAAAACCACGCCACTTGAATCAATGACAGACCTTGTGATTACACAGGCACATGTTAACCACTAGACCTTTCAACCCCTCTTATGCCAGTGCGAACACAGAACGTTGGTTTTTTGTCCCATCTGAACAACCGGACATTTGTCAGGAATCGTAGCAGAGGAGAACCATTAGACCCAAATTTATATGGCAACTGATTTCTAGTTGATTCATATTTCAGATTATGATGATGGTGGTATGAGTGAAATTTTGAAAAAGGACACCATTACAGAGTCTGAACGAGAGAGAATGATCCGAGTTGGGGAGATGACCCCGTTTGGGACAATCGTCAAAGATTGTGCCGCACCTAAGAAAACCGTTACCGATGAAACGGAACCGGATTCTGATACAAGAAAAGAAGAATTACGATTATATCTTTTAAATAAACTAAACAAAAAGAAAGGCATTAAAAGAGCTTCAGAAACTATCACATTGGAGGAGACAAGTTCGCGCGATGACTGCTCTTCTGAGAAGAAGGCTAAAAGCAATACAGAAGGGGAGGATAACTCCGGTGAATGTAGGCTAGCAAGACGAAGGAAGATATTACCGATAGGTGTCAGTCCCGATGATCCCGAGTTGAGTGGTGAGGAATTGGAAGATGGAGAAATTGGCGGGGAAAGTGATGAAGAATATGTTCCACAAGATCAGGAACTGTACGCTGATTCCGAGGAAGGTGAGGAGACTTTTATTTTTTTGTGTCAGTTTGATAATAATGTCTAATATGAAAATGAAATGGGGTTTAACGTCCTACTGTTTTGCTGCAACTGGGATAATGAAGACGGGCATACACCATACAGTGTGCTATGAGTAAAATTTTTCCTGGGCAGCGGCGCTATGGTCTACTCTTATATCGAATTCCAACTGCCAAGGGATCTTGTATGTGCATGCCAATATGTACACAGGACCTAAGTTTTTCATACCATCCGAACGACTAGACAGCTGGCCTTGTCAGGCCCTCAGTCCTGCACCACTGATAAGGGGAAACCATGTCTGAAAATCTCGATGAACTTTCTCAGCCAATGCAGAGTTTGAACACGCACCTCTAATCTAGCGAGCCAGCGTCTTACCTTCTTAGCCTCCATGGCTCTCCAATAATGTCTGATTAACAGGGCTGCCACTTCAAGGTTTTATTGTCAATCATGACGCTGTTTATGCTTTCTTTCTCCAGACAAACTTGGCTTAGATAAAAATGATTTGAATACATTATCTTATGAAATACACTAAACCTAACAATATCGTTTATTTTCAGAACTTGATCCATCACAGATAGGGAAAACCCCTAAAATAAAGGGAACTGGAAAACCCCAGAAAGCAAGTAACGGAATTGGTGTTGTCAAACGTGTAAAAGTTGTAAAAGTAAAAAAAGAATCGACTGTAATTAGAAAAACTAAAGATGATGGAGATACCAGATACTTCCAAAAACGACTTCAGTAAGTTTGTTGTTTATATACATGATAGGAGTCACGGTGACTCAATGATTAAAACACAGATCCTATTTCGTTTCATTTTTTATAGTTCAAAATTTCGTTTTACTTGTCTTTACTACACTAGGATCTGGAAGAGTTGTTTTATAACCCGCGTCTGGTTGATGTGAGGGATTAGCCAATGAAATGATCTGTTACAGCAAGTTTTTGGCGTGAGGTGCATGAAACTGTGGGCAACCCACTAGAAACATCAAGGCTGATTGGTTAATCAATGCGTCATAGGGTCAAAAGCTGCTCTTATGACCTTTGACTCTGACGCGACCCTCCACTACAACTGGTCCAGTCTTCATGTAGTAGAAGCCATCGAAAGGATAAAAACAACAAAACGAAATAAAGATCTGTATTTTAATCAGATTGCAGTGGCTCAGTGAGTAAGACACTAGGTTGCTAGCCTGGATGTCTTGGGTTTGCACCCAGTGTTGGTCAAGATATATCCTCAGGATGTCCCGGCGTTGTTCCCCTTGTCAATGATACATGACGGAGGGCTTGACAAGGACAGCTGTCTAGTCGTTCAGATGGGATAAGAAACTTACGTACAGATTGGCATGCTCATAAAACACTGACCATGAATTGTTGATAGTAATTACTGTAAAAATATGCTATAACATGGATGTGGACCCCCTAGAGGTGACAATTTTGATGAAACTTGGAATTTATGTTCATGTCCCAAAGATCTCGGTTTGTTTTGGATTCATGGCCCCCCGATAGTTTGAAAAATCACATTTTTAGCTTGTGGACCCACTAGAAATCACAATTTGTATTCAATTTTAAAAATTTATCAGTGTTACACCATTATGTAGGTTGAGTTCAAATTTTGCGAAAATCAGACTGAAACTGTCAGACAAAATGGCCGTTCCTTGTTTATAGTAATTCCTTGTACCATGTGATTAACTATATTACAGAATGTTTCAAAAAGAAGAATTACGAAGACAAGAATTAGGTGATGTAGAAGATGAAGATGAGGAATTTGACGGAGGATTAGTTGTACCAGGTAGAATCTGGAGTAAATTATTCAAGTTAGTACAAACTCTTTATTTATAGTCGTAAGCCATTTTGAATAATACAAAACTCACGTTATTCAATAATGTTATTGAAATTAGTTTCAGTTGGTGTACAATGGTTTGGTGATGCCTGGAACAACTCCATGGTTATATCCCATCAAGGCCATGTTGAATTGATTCCTTGTTTCTCCTCGCCTGCACGCTTCGGTCCAGGACCCCAAAATTTTTTGTAAAAAATAACGTTAATAATCTCTAAATAAAATTCTACCAAACATCAGAGAAGTCAATTATTGTTGTTTATTTCTCGTTACGAACTAAAGATGTTGATAATACACATGTAGGGGCCCACATACCCTGGAATAAGTAACACTGTACTTGATTGGATAAATTGCACAAAATTATGCGTGTGGCGGTCATTTGAGCTAATGGAAAAACATATTATAAACTATAAGACAGTCGCTAATATTCAACCTTGAACTTGAATAATCAATTTTTCCATTGGTTAAAATTATCACACGTGTCAAGACTCAAGTATAGGTTCTATTATTCAGGAAATTAGAACGGAAGACATTTTAACTATTTCAAAAGATAAATTTATATTCAAATAAAATACTGTAGCTTTTAAAACAAAGTTAACAACAATTTCAAATTTTATAAATTTAAATTTCACTCTTTGATTGGATGCCCCCTCTCTTTCAGATATCAAAGAACTGGAGTCCGATGGTTGTGGGAATTACACGGACAGGAAGCTGGAGGAATTGTGGGAGATGAAATGGGTCTGGGTAAAACGATTCAGATGATTGCGTTTCTTGCAGCTCTTCGTCAAAGTAAACTTCCTAATAAACATTTTCCGTAAGTAGTTACTTTGGAGTAAAATATTTATTTATGTGGAGGGACCAACTGTTAATATGCTTACCCTTCACTCCCCAACTGAGTGGTTATGTGATCGAATGATTAAGGGGTAACGGTGGGTAAGATGCTGGCTCACTAGCCCGGAGGTCGGGTGTTCGATCCCTGCATTGGCGGAGAAAGTCCATTCAGATTTTCCAGCGTGGTTCCCCCTTGTCAGTGATGCAGGAAGGAGGGCCTGACAAGGACAGCTGTCTAGTTGTTCGGATGGGACGAAAAACTGAGGTCCCGTGTACACATTGGCGTGCACGTAAAAGATCCCTTGACAGTTGGAATTCGATATAAGAGTAGGCCGTAGTGCCGCTGTCCGGGCAAAATTTCCCTCATAGCACACTGTATGGCGTATGACAGTCTTCATTAGCCCAGTAGGAGCAGAACAGTAGGACGTTAAACCCCATTTCATTTCCGAATGGTTAAACGTGTGTTTTGTAGATCACAAGGTCTGTCATTGATTCGGGGGTTGGGTGGCCGAATGGTTAGCACATGCGCGCTGCATCATTGAGTCAACTCTCGTGGTTTCGAATCCTCGGTTGTACGTGACAAGGAGTAGGGTCGCCTGTCCAGCCTCGTGGGTTTTCTCCGAGTCCTCCGGTTTCCTCCCACTGCTAAAGACCTCTACACGCAAGCGAATTATTGAAAAAAAATTAAACCATATGTTAGATCCGAAATGACCTAGTTTGTGTAGTGGACGTTAAACACCATCTCTCTCTCTCTCTCTCTCTCTCTCTCTCTGTGTCATTGAGTCATGTCTGTTGTTTTGATTCCCTGTTTGTATGTAACATTTAGTAGGATCCTTCGGTTTCCACCCACTGTTAAAGACCCCCCCTACACGCCAGCGAATGATCGAAATAAAATTGAACCATATGACAGTCCCGTAATGACCTAATTTATGTTGAGTGGAGGTTAAACTCACTCTCTCTCTCTCTCTCTCTCTTTCTCTCATCAGTATTTGTTATATGTATTTTTAGGTATAGGGGACTGGGACCATGTATGATCGTCTGTCCAGCTACAGTCATGCATCAGTGGGTGAAAGAATTTCACAAATGGTGGCCTCCTTTCAGAGTGGCTGTTCTCCATTCTTCTGGTTCTTATTCAGGAAAAGAGGTAAGAATAAATTGATTCCTATTGTCATTGTCCACTCAGGGTCTGGAGGGTTTGGTGGCCAAATGGTTAATTCGTGCGCATTGGGTCAGTAGGCCTGTCATTGAGTCAAGTGGCATGGTTTCGATTCCCTTCAATTACATGACAAGGAGTAGGGTTGTCTGTCCAGCCTCCCCGCGGTTTTCTGCCACTGCTAAAAACCCCTATGCGAAGTTAATTATTGAAATAAAGTTGAACCTTACGTTAGTCCCAAAATGACCTAGTTTGTGTTGAGTGGATGTTAAACCCCATTTATCACTCTTTCTCCGCTAAGGGTCTATAACAACAATAATAAAAGAAAAGATATTCGGCGAGGGGGGGAGGGGGGGCTGCAATTGTCCGTGTCAGTCCAGCTCACATACATTCAGTGTATTATGCCAGTGTACATGTATGTCACTTCATGGCAAGAGGAACAGTTTTGGTGATTAACATGAGAAAAGTTTCCCCCGTCCCTCCCTCAACTCACCTCTACAAAATAATAATGAGAGCTAGGAACCCTACATATAGTTATTTTCTTTCTTCAACGCAGGGATATTTTATATTTTGGGGTTGTCTAATCGGAATATGATGATATATTAGATTTTGAATGATATATTGTGAAATCCATTTTCATGCTAAATGTTTCAAAATTTCAATATTCAGCATTTCGTTCTGGATATTGTAGATGATGCTCAGAGGTTTTAAAATTAAATCTTATTTTTCAGTCTGAGTTAATACGAAGTATCGTTAAAGATCGTGGTGTTATAATAACATCGTATAATACATTAGTTGGTTACCAAGACGACGTGTTACCCTATAACTGGCATTATATCGTACTAGATGAAGGTCATAAAATCAGAAACCCAGATGCTCAGGCCACACTGGCTTGTAAACAGGTAAAAACAATGATTTTATTTTTTTAAAATTAATCTGATTAAAACACAGATCCTCGTTCGTTCGTTTCGTTTCGTTTTCCGTTTCGTTTCGTTTCGTTTCGTTTCGTTTCGTTTCGTTCGTTCGTTCTCTCCTAGAGTTTTATGTACACTTCCAGCAAGGGTAATATCGTAGACAAGCACAGATCCTATTTCATTTCGTTTTTATAGTTCACAATTTCGTTTGACTTGTCTTTACTACACTAGTATCTGGAAGAGTTGTTATATAACACAGATCCTATTTCATCTTTACTACACTAGGATCTTTAAGAGTTGTTATATAAACCGCGTTCTGAGAGGGGTTAGCCAATGAAATGGTCTGTTACGGCGAGTTCTTGCCGTGGGGTGCACAGAACTTTGGGTAACCCACTAGAAACATCAACGCTGATTGATTAATCAAATGTCTGATGTCAAAGGGTCAAAAGCTGCTTGTATGACCTCCGACGCGACCTCCCACTACAACCGGTCAGATCTTCATGTAGTGTAGACCATCGAAAAATAAAAGAAACGAAACGAAATATAGATCTGTATTCTAATCAGATTGTGTTTGCATCGTCGAAGACTGTGGATGATATTGAGTTAAAGACTTGGTTCCTTTAATTGTGGGGGGGGTGGATGGCTGAATGGTTAGCGTGCGCGCGCTGTATCATAAAGACGGTGGATGATATTGAGTCAAAGACTTGGCTCCTTTAATTGTGTTATGTTTATTTAAGTTGAATTACCTTGTAATTTAGTTTTTAATTCTAATATTTTATTCTTTTGTTTTAGTTCCGAACATCACACCGCCTCATACTATCTGGATCACCGATACAAAATAACCTGAAAGAGTTATGGTCCTTGTTTGATTTTATATTTCCCGGTAAACTTGGAACACTGCCAGATTTTCTACAGCATTTCTCGGTTCCCATTGTACAAGGTGGTTATTCTAATGCTACACAAATACAGGTAGGTTTATAAAATGATTGTTTCTATAATATCTCCAGTGTCGTGCTGGGTATTGCCAAGCCTGGAAATAAAGCACCTGTCACAGACAATGTCAGGCACAAATTGAGACTTTGTCAAGACACAAAACCTCTGTCTTGTCTTTTTTATTGATATTATTAATACATGTCTGGCACTTAGTTGAAAATGTCTGGTACTATTTCATTAGTGCCAGACATTTTGTCAGGTACATCTAAAACTGTTATTTCCAGGCCTGAGTATTGTCATTGCAGTCACGATACAAAATGTATTACAATTCACATGGTAGGATACGATACGTATTGCGATTCAGGTGCTACGATACGATTCGTATCACAATTCATAACCAGATCAATATTTACCAAGAAAACAACAATCGTGAGAAGGTGTATTGTGATACATTAATTCAATGATATATCACGCCATCGTTAGTCTACCATCGTTTAGTGGATTTAAATACGTTTTGTTGTGGATAAAATTACGTAAAAATAATCAGGACTTGTTTATTATCATCACAGCGTCATTAATGATGATAGAGGCTAGACCTAAAATTGAATTGCTAATACATGTATCTTGATTCAGAGTGAAGTCATTTGACTGAAATTTTCAACATATTCTGTTTTCATTATCTATTTTTTAACTATCTCTTTATCTAATCTTACCTTATGCCACTTTAACTTTAGTTTAATAATGTATCATTTGTGTTTAATAACTATAAGAGAACACTTTGCACAGCGTAAATATTGGGTTTTATGTTTTAATATTCTGTACCTTAAAGGAGCTAAATCGCTAATATTTGGGATCTAGAAATTGACACAAATGGGTCGCAATGCATATAATAATGTAATATGAATGTATATAAACTGATTTACATTCAATCGTTTCTGTTTTTACTGTAATTTCTAATCAGTTATGTTCGGCGAAATACGCTTAAAGTCTCAATTGAAGACAATCTTTAGCGTTTGGTTATTCCAGTCTAAACCGATGGTATTTATTGCGCATGCTCTCCAGATAAGAATATAGCGTCACCATTTGACATGACTTGTGGAATATGTCTAGCCCTTTCTTTGAGTCCCTTGTTCCAAATGGCACTGAAACGCATTATGGTACACGATTCGTGTACCAAAGACAAAATATTTATTTTGTCTTGAATATTGGATATCAGAAGCCCATCTTTTCCCTGTAAGATCACAAGACCAATGTTAATTTGAATTGATGAATAATTTGTGTTTTCAATGTCGAAGATTTTTGAGGATATTGAGTTAGAGACTTAGCTACTTTAAATTTACTATAATATATCTGTCACTAGGTGGAAACAGCTTATAGATGTGCTTCTATTTTACGAGATACAATCAATCCATTTTTACTGCGCAGAATGAAGGCCGATGTCAAGGTTAACTTGGATTTACCAGAGAAAAATGAACAGGTAAATCTTGAAGGTTTTCAGAAAATTAATCAATCAAATAAATTGAATATACACAATGACATGTTGATGACCAAACTTTTGTTGAAATAGAAATTCTAATAGAAATTTATGTCTTTTTTGTATTTGATTTGGTTTAAAAATGAAAGTAGGAATCTGTTTGAATTTGGGGGTTTCATTTGTTTTCTAGAACAGATCATGTTTATTTCAATCTGCTTAAAACACAGATCCTATTTCGTTTTGTTTTTTATAGTTCAAAATTTTGTTTTACTTGTCTTTACTACACTTGGATCTGGAAGCATTGTTATTTAACTGGTGTTCTGAATGGTGTCTGGGTTAAGCCAATGAAACAGTCTGTTACGGCAAGTTTTTGGTGTGAGGTGCATGGAAAGTATAAAAAAACGAAACGAAATATAGATCTGTTTTTAATCAGATTGTGTTTATTTTGATGTATAAACAGTTTTATATTTGGTGTGAACACCACATTAATTTTCTTCAGGTTTTGTTTTGTCGAAAAACAGAATGACAATTGCTTGATCTATATTTTTTTTTTAAATTAAGGTATTGTTTTGTCGGTTGACAGATAATCAACATGATGTATATGAAGAGTATTTAGCGTCGAGAGAATGTCAGAGTATTTTACAGGGAAAATATCAGGTACTGAAATTTTGTTTTTCAGGAACACATCGTTAAAATTTTACCCCTATTTCTTCAGAATAATAAAAATGTTTTCCTCTTATCAAACAAATTCCAAATTTGTACTTTTTTGTAATTATATGATATCCAAGTTACTTTGCTTATTTCTGTAATGTTTCCCAACCATGTGGGTTTCTTCCAGGACCTCCGCTTTTCTCCCAACGCAAAAGATCCCCATGCAAGCGAGTTATTGAAATAGAATTGGCCTATCTGAATTAGTTTTTGTTGTGATATTTTGAATAGGGTTTTCTTGTATTTATCGGGGGGGGGGGGGGGGGGGATGGATGGCCGAATGGTCGATGTGTGCATGTTGTATCATAAGGTCTGTCATTGAGTCAACTGGCGTGGTTTCGATTCCCTGGTTGTACGTAACAAGGAGTAGGGTGGCCTATCCAACCTCGTGGGTTTTCCCTGGGTCCTCAAGTTTCCTCCCACTGCTAAAGACCCCTACGCGCAAGCGAATTATTGAAATACAATTAAACCATATGTTAGTCCTGAAACGATGTGTGAGTCTCTCTCTCTCTCTCTCTCTCTCTCTCTCTCTCTCTCTCTCTCTCTCTCTCAAGTAACTTGTATTTCATAAAATTATATCATATTCTGAGCCAGTAACTAAATGCTGTTTAAACAAATTTATTTCTTGCAGATATTTGCTGGATTAATTACACTACGTAAGATCTGTAATCATCCCGATATTTGTACCGGAGGACCAAAAGTCTTTGATCCAAAAGAAGTTGAAAACGATGAGAGTTTAAAATATGGTTATTATACCCGATCAGGTAAAATGATCGTTGTGGAAGCGTTGTTACGATTGTGGAAAAAACAAGGACACAAAGTTTTACTCTTCTCACAGAGTACAAAGGTACGGTTTATTTTATGTCGAAATTGCTGCTCCTCCCAATTAAAATGTTGTTAGCTCACGTCAAACTGAGATAGCGGGTTCAGTCCCAGTGTTCTTCGAGAAAGTTACTGAGAGAGAGAGAGAGAGAGAGAGAGAGAGAGAGAGAGAGAGAGGTGGGGGGGTAAACGTCCACTCGACACAAACTAGGTAATTTTGGGACTAACATAGGGTTCAATTTTATTTCATAAATTCGCTTGCGCGTCGGGGTCTTTAGCGATGGGAGGAAACCTTAGGACCCAGAGAAAACGTAAGATGTTGGACAGGCGACCCTACTCCTTGTCACGTACAACCGGGGAATTGAAACCATACTAGATCTTATGATACAGCACTCACGTGCTAACCATTCGGCCATCTAACCCCCCAAAGTTACTCAGGTTTTTCATTTGATTTCTGTGTGTAATTAATGTATGTTAGCCTAATTTGTCAAACCAGCTACCGCAAATGTTTTTCTGGATGAGGGGAGCTAACTAGGAGGTACTGGCACTGTGATCTAGGTATCATTTAATCTTGTGTATTTAGCACTAATTTCTTTCACATTCGTTTAATATCAAATCATTGTTTAAAAATTAGGTGATTTTAAATGAACTTTACGAAATTTTAAACAAAGATTTGATATTGAATGAATATGAAAGAAATTGGTGCTAAATACACAAGATTAAATGATACCCAGGTTACAGTGTTAATTGTAATCTTTTTGAGGTATTTAGTAACTGGATAGAGCAATAAACTATAACACTTACCTATGGAAAAAAACAGCTACTTATTTATTTGGGCGGCGTTTCGAAGAGTATTCTCTCATTAGCTTGAAAACATTGAGAGAATTCTCTTAGAAACGTCGCCCAAATAAATAAGTAGATGTTTTCCGTAAGTATGTGTTATAGTAGTGTTAATTGTATTAGCACACTTGAATGTTTGAGTGTTTTGTTTTTGTTATATATTTTAGATGTTGGATATATTAAAGTTTATATATTTTTGATGTTGGATATTTATATATTTTTGATGTTGGATATATTAGAGTTTATATATTTTAGATGTTGGATATATTAGAGTTTATATATTTTTGATGTTGGATATTTATATATTTTAGATGTTGGATATATTAGAGTTTTTTGTACAACAGAAGAAATATGAATATTTACGAATGGATGGTAAAACAACTATAGGTGGTAGACAACCTTTAATTTCTAAATTTAATCAGGTATTTAATTAAACAATTTATTTATTTGTAATTCTGGGTCCTTATTCATGAAAACTTAAACTAAAATATTTTAAGAATACTGGCTTTTCATTGGCTAAAATTTGTACTAAGATTTTAATCCCCAACCAATCAAAAAGCAGGATCCTTAAAATAATTTAGTTTAAGTTTTCTGTTGATGCAAAAGAACATTTGACAGTTGGAATTCGATATAAGAGTAGGCCTTAGCCACGCTCTCCGGGCAGAATTTACGTCATATAACATGTGTTCTAATTGATGTAAGGGATTGTCCAATGAAACAGTCTGTTAGGGCGGGTTCTTGGTGTGGTGTATGATACTAGAAACTTCAACGCTGATTGGTTAATCAATGTCTGACATCATAGGGTCAAAAGCCACTCACATGACCCCTGATGCGACCTTCCACTACAACCGGTCAGATCTTCATGTAGTGTAGGCCATCAAAAGTATAAAAAATTGAAACGAAATATAGATCTGTATTTTAATCCGATTGATTTGCTCATTCTTTCAGGATCCTAATATCTACGTATTTCTGCTGACGACTAGAGTTGGGGGCTTAGGTGTAAATTTAACGGGAGCCAATCGTGTAATTATATTTGATCCTGATTGGAACCCAAGCACGGACACACAGGCCCGTGAACGGGCATGGCGAATCGGACAAAAGAAACAAGTTACTATTTATAGATTATTGACGTCGGGTACGATAGAGGAGAAAATATATCACAGGTAGGGCATTATCAGGATTTTATATCACAGGTAGGATATTATATCACAGGTAGGGTATTATCAGGGTTTTATATCACAGGAAGGGTATTATCAGTGTTTTATATCACAGGTAGGATATTATCAGTGTTTTATATCACAGGTAGGGCATTATCAGCGTTTTATATCACAGGTAGGGTATTATCAGGGTTTTATATGACAGGTAGGGTATTATCAGGATTTTATATCACAGGTAGGGTATTATCAGGGTTTTATATCACAGGTAGGGTATTATCAGGGTTTTATATCACAGGTAGGGCATTATCAGAGATTTATATCACAGGTAGGGCATTATCAGAGTTTTATATCACAGGTAGGATTTTAAGTCACAGAGAATACCAGATCACAATTTATACTACTTTTCGCACATATATTTGAATGGAGCCACGGTCGCTCAGTGAGTAAGATGTTAACTCGCTAGCCTGGAGGTCCCTTGTTCGATCCCGGTCGAGAAAGTTCATCGGAATTTTCATCCTTGTCATATAGGTGCAGGAACGAGGGAATGGCAAGAGACAATTTATAGTAGTTTGGATGGGACAAAAAAACCCACAAAAAAACGAGGTCCAGTGTACACAAATTTTAGTTCCAGATATTTAAGTTTTAAGATTTTAAACACAGTAATTTTTTAAAGTGACTATTTGTTTATCAAGCTTGGGGTTGGATGGCCGAATGGTTAGCGCGTGTGCGTTGTATCATAAAGCCTGTCATTGAGTCAGCTGGTGTGGTTTCAAATCCCCGGTTGTACGTGACAAGGAGTGGGGTCTCCTGTCCAACCTCAGGGGTTTTCTCTGCTAAAGACCACTACGCGCAAGCAAATAATTGAAATAAAATTAAACCATATGTTAGTCCCGAAATGATCTTTTTTGTGTCTAATGGATGTTAAACTCCATTTCTCTATCTCTCTCTGTTTATCAAGAACCTGGAAATTAAAAAATGAATTTCCCCAAATGTTTTCTGTTTTGCAGACAAATTTTCAAGCAGTTTTTATCGAACCGTGTGCTCAAGGATCCGAAGCAGAGGCGTTTGTTTAAGAGTAACGACATCTATGAACTATTTACGCTTGGATCTAAAGATAATGAGGAAGGCACAGAAACTAGCGCCATATTCGCAGGAACCGGGTCTGATGTCAAAATTCCTAATAAAAAGGAAAATTTGTTTGATGAAATGAAGACGAAAAAATCCCATGACGAGGAAGAAGATGCATACACGTCGACGCTCGACTCAAATGAAATGACGCGGATGAGAGAACTCGCTCGTAAACTGAGCCAACAGATGGAAAAAAATAAAACAAAAAATGATCTCAATTCAGAAACGGATAATCCCTCCACATCAACACCGGTTAAAAAAACTGTTATAACGTACGCTGATTATAAAAAACAAAAACTTGAGAAAGAAAATGGTGAAAAATCTTCCTCAAAATCAGACGCTCAAACGTCCAGCTCAAAACATTCTCACTCACGATCTAAAGATACCTCAACAACTTCAAGTAGCAGCCATAACTCAGGAAAAAAACACAAAAAGAAGAAAAGAGATGCAAGTAGGTTTATTTTGATATCCTTTGAAAATGCTGTAGAATGAAATGGGGTTTAAAGTCCTGCCAGTCAGGCTAGTAAAGACAGACACAAAATGAAATGAAATGGGGTTTAATGTCCTACTGTTCTGCTCCTAAACTGGGCTAATGAAGACGGGCATACGCCATACAGTGTGCTATGAGGGAAATTTTGCCCGGGCAGCGGCACTACCGCCTACTCTTATATCGAATTCCAACTGCCAAGGGATCTTTTACGTGCACGCCAATCTGTACACGAGACCTCGGCTTTTCGTCCCATCCGAACGACTAGACGGCAGTTCTTGTCAGGCCCTCCGTCCTGCATCACTGACAAGGGGAAACCACGCTGAACACAAGCTTTACTGTGTATGTATTGTGAGGGAAATATGGCCTGGACAGCGACGCTACAGCTTACTCTTTTGTCCCTTCCAAATAACTAACATTGCCTATTTGTGTAAATTTTACTAAGTACGATTTTTAAATGATGATCAGCTGTCATGGAGGTATTGTCTAATGATGTTGGTACATGGGTTGTATAGGGAAGGGAGAGAATTTAATTACAGAACGCTCAACTAAGTGTCCCCTAAAAGTGTCTGATATTGGTTTTACTAAAAACACCCCTATTGCTATTATTTCAGGATTTGAAGGAGAAAGAATTCCACATTTAGTAAAACAAAAGACGTTTACAACTGGTGGAGAACAACCAGATGATGAGACACAACAAAATACCAGTCAGGAGGATGATTACGTTCTACGAAACCTCTTCAAAAAAGTTGGTAAGTTCTCCTTGATTCGAGGTTGGGGTTGGTTGGCTGAATGGTTAGCATGTTTCCTCCCACTGCTAATGAACCCTACGCGCAAGCGAATTATTTAGATAAAATTAATACCAAATGTTAGTCCTGAAATGACATAGTTTGTGTCGAGTGGAAGTTAAACCCCATTTTGTCTCTCTCTCTCTCTCTCTCTCCTTGATTTTCATCAACATAATGATGACGTTAGTTAAATGGGACACCCGTCTGCCCTTGTCAGGGGTGGTGAGTGTGGGGTACCGGGTCTGACAACAAAAGTGTGGTTACTCATTCAGAAGATGCAAAAAAGTAGGTAAGTTCTCCTCATCTTTCAATATTAAGAGGGCCACGTCAGTTGTGAAATGATAGGGACTGTACTGGACCCTTGACTAGTCTGGTCTTCACTTATCTCTGGTGGTGCCTAGTCATTCGGAAGGTACAAAAAGCCTGATTTATCAGATTGACAAATGTTTTAATAACTTATAAAACACCTTCTGCTTATGAAATATTAAACATACATTATACAAGAGCTTAATCTTCCTATTGCAGGTCTTTCTTTAGGCCTGAAATGTTTTCTAAATTATTAATTAGACATTAATTAACTTATCCAGACCATAATCAACTATTAGAGTGAGAACTGCCAGCTCTTTATCTAATTTCCCATAGTGTATCTTTAATTGGTAAAAATAGAGTTGTGAGAGATATTTTTAACGTTGAGCTGGACAATATTTTAAGGTGATCATTTTCTATTTGAAGGAATCCAAGGTGCCATGAAACATGATAAAATAATGGACAGTGGTCGACCAGATTACGCTATCGTCGAGGCAGAAGCGGAGAAGGTTGCTAAGCAGGCCGTAGCTGCTTTACGAAAGTCAAGAACAAATTGTACACCGGCGACATCTGGTGTTCCAACATGGACGGGACAAAATGGAGGAATCAAGTAAGTATTTTTACAGAAATGAAATGAAATGAAATGGGGTTTAATGTCCCACTGTTCTACTATGCTGGGCTAATGAAGACGGGCGTACGCCATACAGTGTGCTATGAGGGAAATTTTGCCTGGGCAGCGACACTATGGCCTACTCTTGTATCGAATTCGAACTGCCAAGGGATATTTTACGTGCACCCCAATGTATATACAGGACCTCGGTTTTTCATCCTATCCGAAACGACTATACCGGTTGCAGCTGCCCTTGTCAGGCCCTTTGTTCTACACCACTGAAAAGGTGAAACTTCGCTGGGAAATCATGATGAACTTTCTCTGCCAATGCAGGGGTCGAACATGTGACCTCTAGGCTAGCGAGCCAGCATCTTACCCACTTAGCCACAGTGGCTCCCAAGTATTGTTACAGTGAATTATCCAGGGTTGTACTGGCTTGTACAGCGCTTACAAATGGCTAGCTAGTGTTATAATGTAGCGCTTTGAAAATGAAATGGGTTAACATGTGTGCGCGCTGTATCATAAGGTCTGTCATTGAGTCAACTGGCGTGGTTTTGATTCCCTGGTTATACGTGACAAGGAGTGGGTTTTCTCTGTGTCCTCCAGTTTCCTCCCACTGCTAAAGACCCCTACGCGCAAACGAATTATTGAAGTAAAATTGAACCATATGTTAAGTCCCGAAATGACCCAGTTTGTGTCGAGTGGACGTTAAACTCTCTCTTTCTCTGGTTATATAAGTTTTGAAATTTAGATTTTGGAGTAAATATGAATGAACCCAATTGGGAGATACCGTTTTCACTTGAAACGTTGTTCGACAAAAATACATCATGGCCATAGAATTCTTGTCACCAAAATAATTGACGTTTTTTACTGATATGTCATTAGACTTTTGCTCCTAAATGTTGTTGGTCAGGAGTTTTACGTAAAATATTTGAGTTCTATTTGTTTTACAGACGTAGATTTGGAAAGAAGAAAAATACTTTGATATTAAATGGAGGGGGTAAAATAATACCAGCTACAGAAACTAAGGTAAATATATATATCTCTTGTAACTAAGGTAAATAGATCTCGTCGTTAGTGAGCCAGTCTCTTACACATTGCGCCATAGTGGCTCCACAAGACTGCTACTTTGTATGGACTAATAGTCCAAGCAGTGGCAATATGGAATTGAAATGGGGTGTAATGTTCTACTGTTTTGTTCCAACTATGAGGTGCTATGTACGGCCTACTCTTATATTGAATTCCATCTGTCAAGGGTTCTGTTACCTGCACGCCAATATGTACACCAATATGTGCACGGGACCTAGGTTGTTTTTTTTTTTATCCCATTCGAATGGCTATACATTGTCCCTTGTCAGCCCTCACCCTGCACCACTGATGAACTTTCTTGGTCAACACGTAGATCAAACAACTCCCAATTAGTGAGCTAACGTTTACTCACCGAATCAATGCGGCCCCCTTGACAATATAGTCCAGTGATTCTCAACCAGGTGTGCCTCGAAATTGTGCACAATAAGAAAATGTGCAAAACCAATTGAATATTCACTGGTGTCTACTGATAAGTTCATAGCTGTGTTTTTCTTTATTTAATTTGAGTCATTCTATGTATCTATGATTAGTCTCTGTCTACGGTTGTATTCCGTCTGACTTAACATGTTTTTATTTTGCAAAATTCAGACATATTTCATATATATTTAGCCAGGTGTGCCGCTATTTTTTCATGTTCCAAGGTTTGCCGTTGGCAAAAAAGGGTTGAGAACCACTGATATAGGCCGTAATGGTCATGTGACCTTGCTCACATTTTATATTGACTGCTTTCTAATTTGTTTTTTTCTAGGAGGAAGCGAAATCTAAAGAAGACTCAACAACCAAACATTTTGATGGATCGGTGTCGGGTTACGTAGCAACAACCAACTCTGCGATATCGTCAGATGAACTTTTAACCAGAATGAGGCAACGTAAACAACAGTCTGCGACTTCTGCTGACGATCCAAACGTCGAAACATCTTCGGACAGACTGGATCCGACTAATATGGATCTGTTAACGGATATCAGAAACTATGTCGCGTTTCAAGCTCGAAATGATGGACAAGCCATGACTCAGGAACTTTTAGATCATTTTGGAAACCGTCTGCCCCCAGGAGACTCGGCCAAGTTCAAGGCCATGTTAAGGCAGTTATGTAATTTCGACAAAACCTCAGGAATTGGAATTTGGCAGTTAAAGCAGGAATTTAGATGATACAAATGTTGAACCAGTTGCTATAACTACAATACCAACTCAATAAACTTTTACTAACTGTGCCAGGCCAATGAGAAATTGTAATTTGAATTCTTAACTATAAGATATTAGAAAAGCGATTCAGACCAGCAATCTGATTAAAACACAGATCCTATTTCGTTTTGTTTTTTTATAGTTCAAAATTTCGTTTTACTTGTCTTCAGATCTTCATGTAGTGTAGGCCATCGAAAGTATAAAAAACGAAATGAAATATAGATCTGTATTTTAATCCGATTGATCCATCAGTGGCTAGTTACGTTGTTGGTATTGAACTCTTCGTTGAGGTATGGAATTGTATATAAGTTCCTGAAATTTAATCAAATTGTGATATAGGAAATAATAGAGGCTATGTTGTCCCATCTATCATTGACTAGTGTCGTTGGTATGGAACTATTCATTGCGGTATGGAACTGTATATAAATTCCTGAAAGTTGATTACCATGCGTTTCCTGACTAACAATGACATATATCTACATAGATTATCATGTCATTCGAGACATTTTAATGTTTAATAGTTTTATATCCACCACTATCGGTAATTGTATCTGTATCGGCCGATATATTTCGCAGTCAATATCTGATATCGGTAAATTGTGATGAAGCTGTAAATAATAATCAGTACATTTATACCACATCAAACTCTGTTGTATAACAAGGCCACACAAATTTAAATATTTCTTCTTCTGAAACACCTTGTACCAACTAAGGCCACACTCGTTTTAATTTTCCTGTTCGGGAATACCTAGTCAAACGTATGATTCCTTTTTTTAGGGAAAAATACTGATCTAAAAGCAAAAAAAATACTTGCCTGCACTTCTCAAATTCCTAAAGGGGCATTATGGGAAATTAGATAAAGAGCTGGTAGTTCTCACTATAATAGTTAAAAACTAGATAATGTAAAAGGAATATGTTGGAAATTTCAGTCAAATTGATCCACTCTGAATTTTAGGCCTAGCCTCGATCATCATTACTAAAGTCGGTGCAAAAAAAACCCATAGTCTCGATTATCCATTTTTGGATTTGATCATCAATGAGCGTTGAGCAGCAGATCGGATTCAAATCCAGTGATAATCCAACACATAAGATGGCATCGACTGTTGATTAAGGTTTAGTCGTGTTAATTAATGTCTAATTAATAGTTTATATAACATGTCGTGATGTTATTATATATTGACCTTTTCCGAATATTGGCAGCTGCTGAACAATTATTTGTTTATTTGTTGTACAGATGGAGCCAATTTTTTTTATATATATTTACTGAAATCCAAGGCTACTGTTTGTTACTTGGGTAGTTAACCTAAATAATAAATTGTTTAATACAATTAATGGTTCTCATTGATGCATATTCATTTAGTTATTTTGTATAATTCTGAATTACGGTCTTTTATTATTTATTATTTTGATAGAATAAAGCCTTTATATACAAGAACAAATGGTGCTACTTTCATTTACATGGAAGATGCTAATTCTAGGCCGGTTCGGGAATTTCTGAAATCCACAATGGCCACTTTCTATAAATGAGTATTTTGGGGAATACTAAACTTAACCCTTTTTAGAAGACTGAACTTAGATCCAGTTTAACTTTTACCTCTCATAAAAAGGGTTAAGGGAGGGCCTGACAAGGACAGTGTTCAGTGGTTCAGATGAAATGCAAAATGAAAGTCCCATGTACACATCGGCGTGCACGCAATAGAACCCACCACAGTTTTATTAGCTTTGCAGTCGGAGCAGAACAGTAAGACGGAGCAGAACAGTAGGACATTAATTCTTTAGACCCAATGCCCTTCTTTGAAAACATCCGACTGAATAGAGTAAATGCAGACATTTGGAGGTTTTGTAAAATGTCTGAAAGGGTTCGTGACTATAAATAACTTGAGAATCACCATATTCCTGAAGCAATGGCCCGAGAAATCCCTCTCTGGCCATTGCTGGATTGGCTTCTGATACTTGAGCTTTGAGGGAGTATGTCTATTCTTCCCGTTCAATCAAACCTCTCCTAAGTACAGCAACATGACAGTCCTTCGTTTAATCTGGGGTCTTCCCTAAAACTTTGGACAGTGATTTAAGGTATTAAAAACAGTGAAAGTACATTGTTCGTCTCCAAACTGTATTTTTTACATTGTAGTCGTTTGATAGCTTCTTTTGTCACGCAATTAGTTTTCCTGCAATATTCTGCTATGCATTGGTTAATTGGGAGTTAAATTTTGTGAGTCATGAGGTAACATTATGTAAACACATTTGGACCAATTTGGAGCTCTGTTTAAAGCTGAATGATATTAGTAGCAGTTAGCTATTGGTTGTTAATCGAACTATTGACCAGTCATAATTTAGAACAGAAATTTTGTTCCATTACAGCAGTGTTTGAGTGGGATTATGTCTAATCAAATGAAACACTGCGATGAGGAGAATCACTGACATTCAAGAGTATTTAATAAAATAAAGGACTGACTAATTAATAAAATAAAGGACTGACTAATTAATAAAATATGCTTTATGTCATGATAAAATACATCATTATACACGTTGATATATAATATATGTAAGTTTAGTCAGGGTGCAAAAATAAACAACTGTACAAAATGATAAAAACAAACAAATTGATGGGGCATCATTTCACTATACAATAAACAAAATACCATAATGGATGGAGAGAGAGGGAGATGGGGTTTAACCATAGGCGTACAGGGAAATTTTTGACTGGGGGGGCAGTGGTGGTGGTTGGTGCCCAAAAAATGTAGTTAGGTTCTTAGTATGTTACATAATAATAATAAATTCGCTGTTAAATTGGACACATTCAAGAACACAATATTTTTTTATACAACTTTTACAAAGTACAATTGTGTGCCCAAATTTTCCCAGCAGTTGGTGCCCAAAATTTGCCCCCCCCCAGCTCGTACGCCTATGGGTTTAACCTCCATTTGAAGCAAACTTGTTTAATTTGGGACTCATATGGTTCAATTTTATTTCAATGACAGGCCCAAAGGTCTAACTTTTTGTTATACGTCCACATTCATAATGTGAACGTATTATGCCGTCGCCCCTGTCTGTGTGTGTGTGTGTGTGTATGTATGTATGTGTGTGTGTGTGTGTGTGTGTGTGTGTGTGTGTGTGTCTGTGGTTCGCCTACAGGGCGCAATTCTTCATGGATTTTCTTCAAACTTGGTATACTTATTCCTTATACCCCAAGGAAGATCCCTATTGTTTTTGGTGCATGCCCGACCCCCCGGGGCAGAGCCACGCCCATTTCTAGTATTTGTTTGTTTGTCGTCTACAGGCCACATTTCTTAACTAATAATCTTGAAACTTTGCATACACATTCTTTGTACCCTAAGGAACATCCCTATCGTTTGGGGTGCATGCCCAACCCCCAGGGGCAGAGCCACGCCCATTTTCTTTTCGTGTGTCTTTGTGTCGCCTACAGGGCGCAATTCTTACTGGATTTTCTTCAAACTTGGTATACTTATTCCTTATACCCCAAGGAAGATCCCTATTGTTTTTGGTGCATGCCCGACCCCCAGGGGCAGAGCCACGCCCATTTCTAGTATTTGTTTGTTTGTCGTCTACAGGCCACATTTCTTAACTTATAATCTTGCATACACATTCTTTGTACCCTAAGGAACATCCCTATCGTTTGGGGTACATGCCCAACCCCCAGGGGCAGAGCCATGCCCATTTTCTTTTCGTGTGTCTTTGTGTCGCCTACAGGGCGCAATTCTTAATCGATCAACTTGAAAAAATTTCATATAAATTCCCTATACCCTAAGGATGATCCCTATTGTTTTTGGTGCATGCCCGACCTCCAGTGGCAGAGCCACGCCCATTTCTTTTATTCATTGTTTGTCATCTACAGACTGCATTTCTTAGCGTATCACCTTGAAACTTTGCATACTTACTCCTTCTATCCTAAGGAACATCCCTATTGTTTGTGGTGAATGCCCAGCTCCCAGGGACAGAGCCACGCCCATTTTCTTTTTGTGTGTCTGTATGTCACTTACAGCCTGCAATGCTTAATCGATCATCTTGAAAACTTTTTTATACTTATTCCTTATACCCTAAGGCTGACCTCTATTATTATTGGTGCTTGCCCCACCCCCTGAGACAGAGCCACGCCCAAAATTTGTGTGCCTTTTGTGTCGCCTACAGGCTGCAATTCTTAACATTTCCTTTTGAAACTTTGCATACCTATTCCTTTTCCCTAAGGATGCCCCCAATTGTTTGTTGGTGATTGCCCAACCCCCAGGGGCAGAGCGACACCCATTTTTTCTTTGTGTCTCTGTGAGTTGCCTACAGGCCACGATTCTTTATGGATTGTCTTTGAACTTGGGATATGTATTCCTTATAACCAAAGACGACAACTGCATATCACGACCCCCAGGGGCAGAGCCACGCCCAATTTTTATGTTTATATCATTTACAGGCCGGAATTCTGAATGGATCAACTTGGTACTTGGCATTTGTATTCCTTATAGCCTAAGGGCATCAACTATTGATTTTGGTGAATGCCCCGACCCCCCGGGGCAGAGCCACGCCCAATTTTTGCCTTTAACACCCAAAGGCCACAATTCTGAATGGATTATCTTGGAACTTGGTATACTTATTCCTTATACCCTAAGGATGGCAACTATTGATGTTGTCATTTCAATAACAGGATGGTACCTATTTATATTGTTTCCATATCCAACCCCAACGGGCAGAGCCATGCCCAGTTTTTGTATTTATAGTCTACATGCTGCAATTCTGAATGGATCATCTTGGAACTTTGCATATTTATTCCTTATACCATAAAGACAGCAACTATTTATTTTGATGCTTGCCCCGACCTCCTGGGGCAGTGCCACACCCACTTTATTGTTAGTATTTTTCTGGATATTTGGCAAAACAAACCCGACGTCTAGCCTTCTTTGCCTCTGATCATATTACAGCAATTTCATATTTCATTCTCTTCATTTTAAAAGGTACCATATATCAATCAAAGCTGGAATGTGGACGTATATTGCAGCGTTAGCGATGCTCTTGTTAAAAAAACAACTTGCAGTGTAAAGAGAGAGAAATAGGGTTTAACGTCCACTCGACACAAACTAGGTCATTTCGGGACTAAGATATGGTTCAATTTTATTTCAATAAATCGTTTGTGTGTAAGGGTCTTTATTAGCAGTGGGTGGAAACCGGAGGACCCGGAGAAAACCCACGAGATTGTCACTCCTTGTCATGACCGACCTTATGATTCAACAGGCACCCGCATTGTAAAAACATATTGTTTCCATACCAAATGTGGTTGTACGTTACAAGGAGTAGGGTCGCCTGTCCAGCCTCGTGGGTTTTTTTCCAGGTCCTCTGGTTTCCTCCCACTGCTAAAGACCCCTACGCGCTAGCGAATTATTGAAATAAAATTGAACCATGTTAGTCCGAAATGACCTAGTTTGTGTCAATGGCCGTTAAACACCATTTCTCTCTCTCTCTCCATACCAGATGTTGTAGTATCTTAAGTCAATTAACTAACATTTAATACGATTTTAGTGAAATGATGCCCTCCACATTTACATTATGTATAAAATATATTCAATATCGTTCAAATGGATTAAAAAACAAAATATTTTATAAGAATTAGTGTATAATATTGAAATAAAGTAAATTGTTCGCTATGTATATATCAATCACGATTAAATTACGCCCACTTAGAGAACACCTGATCCTAAACCCGCAGAATCATCACAATAAAACCACGCCCCCTGATCCTAATGCCACAAAATTATCAAAATAAAATACCCCCACTTACAGAAAGCCTGATACTAAACCTACAGAATCATCAGAAAAAAACGAGCTACCCCCGATTATAGAATGGCTGATCCTAAACCCACAGAATTATCAGAATAAACTACCCCCACTTTCAGAAACCCTGATCCTAAACCCACAGAATTATTGGAATAAACTAACCCCACTTAAAGAATGCCTGATCCTAAACCCACAGAATTATTGGAATAAACTACGAAATCCTAAACTCACAGAATTATCAGATTAAACTACTACCCCTCCCCCCCCCCCCCAACCCTCGGCGCATCCTCAACTCACAGATTTATCAGAAGAAACTTAAACAATGCCTGCTCCTAAACCCACAAAGATATACAAAACACAAATTTCATTAAATATTTTTTACTCTTACCAAAGAATGGAGACAGTTATACCTCTAATATAATCATTGCTTAAAACTATTTCATTTATATTTGATTTACATTATTTTTATTTTTATACATTTTGATTTTTAGTTTAAAATTACCAACTTCCTCGGAGATTCCTAAATACGTATGCCAACAATCATGAAGCAATTATAAAGTTTAAAACAAAATTCTTATTTTTTAAATCTCATCAATCTAGTCAACCCATATTTCCAAATCAATAACAGTATTAAAATCACAACATAGATTT